TACTGCTTCATAGTTAATACACGCAGTTCTAGCATCTTGAAAGGAACAGTTTGGCATTCTTAACAGCTCTCTTTCCAAACTCGGTATGTTGATTCCTGCAATTAATCGATCTCTAAGTTGTACATGAAGTTGATCACCGAAATTACACTTGGCAGCTTGTTTCTGCAATTCAAGGATAAATTCCCGAACGTTTTGATCATTTTGACGAACCATCTTATGAAATTTCGCCCTTTCACGGCTTTCGAAACTGGTACATTTTATATGATTTAAATATAGCTCTTTAAGAGTTGCATAAGGAAGTGAGATAGGTTTTTCTGGATATGCCAAAGTTTTTAATAAGCTGTAAGCTTCTCTCCTAATGAATGTCAGGAAATGTGCCACAATTTTATCACCTTTGACATCTTCCTTAGTCATGCTCCAGATTTCAAACCTTTCCAAATAATCCTCAAATGCTTCCGAAGTTGAATGAATGTCCAACTTTTCCATTGCAGGTTCCATCACGACGCCAGTATAATGTTTCGAATTATTGGAATTATAGCACTAACTAAGAGTCCCAGAAATAACGCAATTGAATTAAGAAGACACAGGCACAACCGAATGTACTGTATTTGGAATTCGAAATCGCACAATCAACCAGTACAATAGTATCATTAGTTCGTTCAAACACCACAAAAAGACGCTCATTTTCTCTGAAATGGTAACACAGGCGCTTGTTTATAAGCATTAGCAGTTGCGAAAGCACTTTCATGAGATATATGCAAGCATATCAAACATTTCATTCCGTCAATGTATGAGATCACCGCAACCAACCTAGAGATAACTTTCTAAGTCACCAAATCGACTTGTTTAGTGACCAGATATATGGTGTTGTGTAGAACTTATGGTCTACTATGATATTAGTACTGCTCTAATAATAGACCTAATCCTAAATCTGTGGATTTGTCATGATAATAATAATAATAATAATTTATTCTGAAATAACAGATTGCTACATGAGGCATGCCAGTTTACAGGCAAGATCAAATTGATACAAATGATACAATATACACTATAATAAATTACATAGCTGGGTTGATAATTTATAAGATATAAATGTCGATGGTTTAAATCAGTACTACAGTTGGCGCGCTTCATGAAAGTCGCGTTGCGAATGTGCGACTGATGGTCAACAATAGGTCCATTGAAGGTATGGGCTTCTAAAAATCGCAACCTTATTTCCTTCTGGGATATCCAAGGCTTTAAGGATGGTGCAGGATGAAGTCACCAGTTCCATATCTCAAGGGGGCTGAAAGAGGGAGCAAGTAAAAGAAAACACGAGAGGCAGAGTAGCCAATATTCATGAAAGAATGCTTAAGGTATGATTACTCAGTCTAATTTTCCTTTATTAAGGTATATGTTAGGAAAGAGCATTTTAATAGGTTAAAGAAAATAAGTGTTGACAAGGTGTGAGTGGACATACAACTGACAAATGGGGGCGATTCGGAAAAGAGCTGAGAGTATAAGATTATGTGTGATTATAAAATAAACTATAGTGCTAGAAACAGTATAGTGATATACATTTGGCTGTCTTCCCTTTAATATCGAAGCTATTAGAGCCTCTTTCGTTTTTTTTTAAAATATTTTTCCCCCAGTTATTATAGGGTCTTGATTAGGCTTCGTATATTAGCGAATTGTCTAGTTTGCTTGTAATAGGATTTCTAGGTAGGAAGTGAAACCAATTCAACGTTCGTAACACGACTTAAAGAGGTATTTTGCGTGAATAGATCAGCTTCAATACCATAAGTTCGTGGCATCCCACTAAACCATAAGGAGCCGTAATTAAACAAAATGTTCTGCCCTACAGACATGGGTGGATTGAAGTTATCTCCCCACCTTCATGTTTGCTGGTCAGTAACGCCACCCTCCCTCCTTTTGTGATGTTAGGCTCTCTTACGTTTGTGGTAAGTATGAATACTGCTTTAATCAAAGCCCATAGTTGGAATACACTGTCTCTACTAGGTCCATGTTACAAGCAAATCAGATAGTTAAAAAACTTGTTTTATGGGTTAGATGTCCACATAGTATATCACACTGCTATGAAAATAACTAATGGTTTAAAGAAGTAAGGACTAATCTATAAGATCTTACGTGGAAGTCACACCATCAACTACACCAACTCACTGTATCGTATCAATTACCAATACATGACGTAGAACAAGGTTAGGCTAGAGAAAGAACAATATATATAATATGAATAGAAGATATATAAGCAGAGACCACGCCTGCATGGCCGAGCCATGCCGTTCGACCAACTCTAGTCCATTCAACTCATTATTCGCGCCTTCTCCATCGTTAGGTATTTCTTTGCGTTAAATATTGAATACCTATTTTCCGAGTAATCTCGTATTCAGCTTTGAGGATAGTGTGGTTATGGTCCAATGCCACTACAGTTGCTCCAAGGTATTTTTGACAAGAAGTGTCTTTAATTAAACTATCACACGCTGTACTGAGGGCTTTTGAGAACAACAAAGCGAATAAACTGATATGTGCCTAAAGAAAAGCAGAGCTATCAGTGACCAATTGTTCATCATACAGACAATAAAACTTTTCAGGTGCTTTTTGATGTGAGTGAGCTTCAAGTCCCATTTAATCAGCTCTTCACATGGAAAGTTCTTGTGATATCGCAATCGACCGCTCAAAAAGTTATAGGTAGGAATTTGACTACTTGGCAGTAACAAAAAAGTATGGATGATCGACGTTTACGCGTGGGAATGTGCCGATAAAATGTAACTGTGGTAACATTGTAAACAAAATAAACAGAAATTATCAAAACCCAAAAATCCCGAAGCTAATTAATAGTCAGTCGCAAATGGTAGCTATAGCCGTTGATGGTGGTCCTTTTATCAGCTTCACTGGTACCACTGTAAAATCATGAAGTTCCACCAATCCTGACTCAGAAGTTAGTGTTTTCCTCATAAAAAAGATCGTCTTTGATGTAAAGACACTTATTCACACTTAGGTCTGCAGCATGTCTCCTACCTGATGTCCATTCAAATAATCGACTAGCATCCCTACAAACGGTTCGCTGGCTTGTCTATTTAACATCTATCTTCAGGCTTGTTACGTTTTCCGTCTGAATTTAGCGAGGTTTTAGATACGTCTTCATGAAATTTGTTTTCTCCTTCTTACTCAGCACTATTTCAAGGCAGATAAAGAAAGCATGGGGGCGTTTGAGAGTTGCAAAGACATTCTTAGACGAGTAGGCAGGTGGAAACACATTTACGAGAAAAGGTATAAATACAATAAACGAGAATTTGTCATCATATCAGATGTTATTTTGAAGCATAAACTCGATTACTCATTTGAAAGAATACGTAAGTTAAGTTGTTGATTTAGATACATAAATGTGATGTAATTATAAGATCCTTCTTGGAAGTTTTGTGTGGTGTATGAAAATCCCTCCACTACATGCGTTTTCTATGCGATATGTTGCTCAACCTAATTTTGATCCGTTTGGCCGTTCACTCCGTTGATTGTATTCACCGCAGATAAGATGGGTGCTATTGATTTGTTGTTGTAGTTTTCGTTTCTGTGGCGGTCGTAGTGAATTTATATGAGCCTCACAAATTATTTATATGTTTTTGTAGATAATTCTCGGTTTTGTAGATGGTTAATATGAACTTGGAGGTATACTTCTTGCTTGATAAGGTGGTTTTGTATTTGATAGCACTACATGTTATGTTCTTGAATACTGTGGAATAAAATAATAAACCACTTTAATTACAAGCATTGACTAATTAAAATGTCCCCGTTCGTGCTTATGACCAAAGAGACCATGTTTCACTTGATATACCGAATATAAATATATCATTTATAGTTCCAAATTCCTCTAAGCTGGCGATCACAAGAGCTGGAGATAAATGGGTAGCTAGGTGACATCTTAAATCTTCTGGAATATAGAACAAAACTAATTTATTGCAATATTTCCTTCCCTATTAATATCAATAAACTCAGAATTCTAATGGTGAACAACAGTGATAACGGGTCCACCATGTTCTTTCTGAGAGATTCCATCTTCAAACTTTCCATAATTTAGAAGGATTTGTCATCATCCTTTTTGTTACATTAGATGTCTCTTCGCATTTACAATCTGCATTCAATTAGGTAGAACGCTTTTGGAGTTTCTTTCGAATAAAGATTGATAAAAGTTGACTGCAGAATTGCTCAAAACTGTTTTCACTGTTTGGTCTACTCAAACACAGATCCCAATGAACAAACAGTTCATGAACTCAAACAAGCAAGGTTGAAGTTTGAAAACACGAAGTGTACCGCTAAAGGAAGTGTTATTTTCAAAAAGCCCTTCCAGATGCCTGTTGTTCTTATGTCCTCATGTGTTATATTTTCGTATCTAATTGTGCTAACCTGCCGAAGAAACTCACCCATAACAATCGGAAACCGTCCAAAATTCTTTCGTAAGTCTTTTAATCTGGTATTCCACCGTTTGCACATGGACAGATACTCCAGGAAGACATTACCTTCTACCTATGTCTTATTTCCATTGTTATAATAAGGCTTTCGTGCATGAATTATACGTAAGACTAGTATAGGAATAGCTCGCTTCCACCAATTCTAGCTTGGCGTACAATAGCGGAAGAACTAAAGTCCTATCTCGTTCTCTCACTGATAATTTAGGTGTTCTATGATCTAAATTGGATTAAGATTTCATTCATTTTAAACCCAAATTTTCATTTAAACCAATCTTGGTTTCTGGAATCACTACAGATATTCTCTTATGTGAAGGCTTAAGGGAAATGAAACGAGGTTTTGCGTTTAGTTATATCAATACAGCGAGGACGTGTCGAGTTCACAGTCAGATAGTTTGGTCTTTAGCATAGATTAATCATTCCGAATACTAAGAGCATACACTTGATAGTGCTTCGCCTGCAGTTTTTCTTAGTGTACATTTATCCTAGTCTCCATGTGTTTGTAAAACTTCCGAAAGTTATCTCGTCTGTCTATCGAAGCTTTCAAGCCTATTTGTTTTCCGGGTTATGTATTTATCACAATCTTTCAGTCTCGAAGCCCCTCAGTTTGGTTTGTAAAGATATTCGGTCATTGTATCTGTCTATACTGTCGAATACTATCAAACTGCCAAGAGATACCTTTACGTACACAATGCTAAACAAAAACCAAGTTAGCTGGCAAAGTATGCTTTTTTAGTTTATTAAAAACTCTTAGGTCACCGGAATAGTTTACATCACTTTGCTCATCAACCTCCAATCCAAGAGCAAATCATTTAGCTATCCGATTTACGTAACTTAATGATTTTAAAACGACGTTCATGGATTACTAATATTCGACAGTACGCGTGTTCGTAACGGTGACTTAATGCCTAAGTAGTTGGGTTTAAGAACTTACGTCTCATAACCACACTGCTTCACCTACTCCGGTTTGGTTAGGTGGGTGACATCACTAGTGGTAAGTACACTCGTACTTTGTAATCGTGTTTAATTATATTGGGTGTTTTTAAAGTATTAGCTCAATATGATGATTTGTAATATAATTGAGCAGAGCACCAAGTACTGGTAACAAGATGGTTACTAGAGCTGTCCATTTTTATTACCCAAGAAGGCCTGGATTTTGGTTAATTATATTTCATTTTCCATCCCAACGCATGATAGTGATTGGAATAGAAATAAGTTGGAGAAAATCACAGGAATCCAAAGCAATATGTGATATGTTAAGGCGCGTCTAGAGGTGCATATATCCCGGTCCAGGACCACACGATTATTGTAACTGACAGTTGAATACGGTAACATGACTTAAAATCAACAGCAGTTACACAAATTGTCTAGTCATTAGTTCCCCTTAGGTTTTGAATTTTAATATCAGTGTAATATACTCGATGAGTTAATTTGTTCCATCCAGCTAAATTGTTGCCTTCACTTTGTCTTTCACTATCAGCAATATTATTGTTATCGTTTCAACCTCTCTGATTCTCATCATGGTAATTTCCTTTTTTTTGTGTTGATGTAATGTGGATACTTGAACTGATATACGTTCGATTTATATGCGATATTGTCTCGGAGTGATTAAGTAAGATACAACGTAGTTGGGCAAAGGTGGAAAATGTCTGGTAGTGTGTTGCCCAGAATATGTGCTTTCCATGAAATCTAACTAGAAATTCCTAGCTACCTTTTTAGAGGATGACATAACTGGAACTAAATCGGAATCTTATTTCCTAGACAAAAGATAGTTATGATTTCCATCCTATTTTTGCATGTCATTGACCTCAAGAATCGTTTAAAAAGTGACCTGTAGAATATAGTGAATACTTGTCAAAATGAAAAATCTTGTTTTCTCTATTCTAATGAATAAAAACTCAAAGTAATTATCCATGATGGTATTTTTTCAGGTGCAGGCGTACAGTAGAACTAAGAGCATTTCTCGGTTTGGTGAGAAATTTTAGAGGTTTGAGGGAAACGTCTTAATTTTGTGTAAATTATGCGTTCAATAATTTCGTGGAATTATATTTTCAAATCCGTTTACGTAAGAGGTTAGCTATTAAAACCATATATACATTGCCATGTATGTTGCTAGCCGCAGAATTATTTGAGCGAAAAATAGTCATTTTCTCGGAAACTGTGGCCAATCACAATTGGACTTCATTTTTGCTTCGAGATTACGTAGTACTAATGAATATTCACTTCTTCACTAAAACAAAACCGGGGCAACAATTTGTATAACTTGGTATATGTTAAACCCATCTAGGCAAGTACACTGCCTAGTAATGCGCGTAACTTTCCGTACGACTTAAAGATCGTTGATGGCGTGTGGCTTGCAAAATTTTGATAGTTATTGTCTAAGTATTTTGCATTTTTGTTAGAACTAGTTGGTTAGAATATGTGCTTTCCATGAAATCTAACTAGAAATTCCTAGCTACCTTTTTAGAGGATGACATAACTGGAACTAAATCGGAATCTTATTTCCTAGACAAAAGATAGTTATGATTTCCATCCTATTTTTGCATGTCATTGACCTCAAGAATCGTTTAAAAAGTGACCTGTAGAATATAGTGAATACTTGTCAAAATGAAAAATCTTGTTTTCTCTATTCTAATGAATAAAAACTCAAAGTAATTATCCATGATGGTATTTTTTCAGGTGCAGGCGTACAGTAGAACTAAGAGCATTTCTCGGTTTGGTGAGAAATTTTAGAGGTTTGAGGGAAACGTCTTAATTTTGTGTAAATTATGCGTTCAATAATTTCGTGGAATTATATTTTCAAATCCGTTTACGTAAGAGGTTAGCTATTAAAACCATATATACATTGCCATGTATGTTGCTAGCCGCAGAATTATTTGAGCGAAAAATAGTCATTTTCTCGGAAACTGTGGCCAATCACAATTGGACTTCATTTTTGCTTCGAGATTACGTAGTACTAATGAATATTCACTTCTTCACTAAAACAAAACCGGGGCAACAATTTGTATAACTTGGTATATGTTAAACCCATCTAGGCAAGTACACTGCCTAGTAATGCGCGTAACTTTCCGTACGACTTAAAGATCGTTGATGGCGTGTGGCTTGCAAAATTTTGATAGTTATTGTCTAAGTATTTTGCATTTTTGTTAGAACTAGTTGGTTAGAAATAATGGTGTTATGCAATACTCCAAATCATGAGGATGATTGATCAAGTTGGAAACATTCACAAGATAAGGTTGTTTAGTTGTGCTCTGAAACCTGTCGATAGTTTAGTATTTTATATTCACAGCAGTATCTAAGACAAACTAGTTCTCAGCTTTTTTTTCAATCTCTATTTACGTGTTCGATAGTTGTGGAACTTGTTTTTCTAGACATTCAAACTATTGTATCTTCAGTTGATATAAAGAGTCAAGAACTAATCGTAATAGTTAGATATTAGTTACTTTGGCGAGTGATTGACTTATAGTCGTAACATTCTTCAGTCGCTTATTTATAAAATGACTTCTAATCATGTATGTTTCTGAGTAAAATTTTCTGCATATGACCATGTCATTTTCCTAGAATAAAAACCCTATTCTATTGCACAGCTTGTTTTTCGGTATCAGCTCATTTAGGATGTATGTTAATTATTCGCTCTCATGACCAGTTATCACGCGATAAAATTGTATCGCTGCATATTATTCATTGATCAGCGCACCTTATACATTAATACAACAATCCCTAAACGTTTTTTTATTTGCGAGTCGTCAAAGGTAATTCGTAACCGTAGTTATCACTAAGTTATTTCTGTCGTTTCTTATAAACTAGGGACTGCCAGTAATCGGAACTAGTTTGACACAGTTGCGTTCATCTCTCAAACATGGATTTATACCTTCTCTAGCCTAACAGTTGGATTCCAGACCTATACCCAGATAATTCCTGGATTTGACTCATCCAGGTCAGCTTCTATTCATTACTTTGAGCTAACAACAAGTTCATGTCAGATAGTCTTCTCAAACAGTGAGGTCATAAGCCACACCAAATTAACAAACATAACCGCTTTAGTGTTGATAACGGTGTTTTATAATCTGCCGAAAAGTAAAGATTTGGTCAACTAACTCTCTCGTATCTGAAACATTGTTTTTTGAATTCCTTTGAATCATAAGAGACTACTAAGTAAACGGTTTGGTGCGGTGACCATATAGAAAAACCTTGGAAATAATCAATAATCGGAAATATTTTGCCAAAACTATCTATTGTTTTCCTAACCCTTTAGTAACTTTACTGAGTCTAGTAATTGCTGATCATCACCCTTGAAGGATTTTAAAGTAAACTATCACATCCTAATCTTTTAACTTGCTTTATGTTTGTCACTACTTGCCTAACTTTGATGGGAGTTGAATGACAGTCGCCATATTCTTCTTGGCAGCTGATGCATTACAAAGGGAGTAGAAATGACTCCTAGTCAACCGAAATTTTCTCCAGTTTACCATCTAATACCAAAAGACGTCACTACCACCGACACCATATGAATTCTTTTTCATTTTGTTACTTGCGTTTCTCTGTGCTGGTATGATTAGTATAAATTAATGCATATTTATACCATACCCTACGTTATGACTGTCTGATGGTTTCATAGTTTTGATCGCCATTATCGCTCAGGAAAAAAATGGACTGTTTGATTCAGGTGTTACGTTCTGAAGTCACAGTTTCAAATTTAGTGTTTGATCATTTCTACTGTTAAAAACATGTCAGATATTTCAAACTTGTGTTCATTAACTCAATAGGTAATCCATTTTTGCAAATGGTATATACAGGAAACCATAACGGGGCAACAACTATTTTAAGTGACTAATGTGGTCGAACACCCCAGTTAGTCATGATTTTTATTCAATGGCCGCATTTCTGAATCAGAAAGGAAAAGAGTGAAGTACGTTTGTTTGCAATCAAATTTATCTTGACTAATTAAACCAGTCATTGTCGTTTATTTATGAAGGGTTATTCGAAATTTATTGCCGAGTAAATATTGGTCACAGAGTAATAACTAGTGTTACGTTTCCTTAGTACCTATTCTATCAAGCTGCACTGTGGTCACTAGATGCTAAGACTATCGCAAAAATAGTCAAAATCCATTGGAAAGGCGAAAATCTCTTCTAATGTTACCACCGAGGTTTCATGTGTTGGGTATAATTGACCGTTGTCAGTTCCGAAAAAAACAATCGTTTTAGAGCAGCTCAATCATTTTTGTTCCTAGATTCGTAGCACCGTAGTCAGTACTGAACCCCAATAACAAGACATAACACTAGTCTTAGTAACTAACACCCACACGCTATGTTTTGATGTATAGAATTCACGGTCGTACTAAAGTGTGTTCTCAAGATCTCAGGATATCTAGCAGAAATTTAAAAACTGCATACTCATGAATACATATACGTTTCAGAATACTTGTGACTTGTTTTTTAAGAGAATATTTATTCCTAAAATACCTTTAATTGGTTTCTAATTAGTTCCTATTCAGTGTTCCATTTTTTTATTCTTTTCGTTTGTAGATGGCAGAACACTGGTCAGTCGGACCCACAGTTCATTTTGGTTCACATTCGCTTCTTCCCTCCACTGACCTTAAAATATTGTGGGACCTACTTCAGTGTAGGGACTGCTGGTTCAGACGCATTTATCACCAACTTGCTGCCAACGAACTTCGGTCAAATTCAGTTGTGGCAGTAAGCCCTCGGAAAAGTTCAATCCCTTCTGTTCCCTTCCATAGTCTTACGAGAGCGATCCAAGCAGTCTTACGTGGCTTCAATCTAAATCGTAAATGCCCATCAAAACTAGACACGAAGGAGACCAACTTAGCATCATTTCTGCATTTACATATAAAAACTAGTTATCATCATATAACTGTAGTCAGCACCAAATTCTGTATCAAAAGACAGTATTGGGTCTGCCCTTCTCATGGACGTCGCCTGTTCGATTTGCTATACTGTAGTGGCAACTTTAGTATTCCAGAGCGGAAAGATGGGTTAGACTTCGATTTAGCTATTCGTTCAATAATCCCTCAGGGTCAATCTGATTTCTTTCGATCTGTTCAGCTTTCGAGCTCCTCAGATGAAAGTGATGAACCGGAACAGACCTTTTCTGTTCGGCTCCACACTCCAGAGCTGTATATAGTAAAGCCAAATCCAGAAGGTTCTCACAATCATTTGTCTACAAAGGTATGTTCCACCGAACCCAAAAAATTCATAAGCAAACAACTTTATGAAGTCAACAGGAAATGGTCGTTCAAATACAGTGTAAATGACTTAAACCATAAACATCTGTACAGTAAAAACGATGCTCGACATACCTGTGATTCTCACTACAATGAAAGAAAACTAGATGGTCCAAAACATGTGCATTTTCCTAAGGGGAATCCTATATCTGCTGTATACAATCTTTATACATATGCTACAGCAAGCAGGTTGGAAAGGTCTAATCGTATTTGGGAAATAGAAGCAAGGTCTCGCTACTTTGATCGTTTGAAGTATTTAATATCAAATGGTTTCGAGGCTGACCTAGCATCCCAGTTGGCAGGAGATGATGAATCTACGGAACTGCACTCTAGTGTTAATGAAGCTCTTGACAATAAAGCATGCAAGCAAGACAATCTCAAACCGACGAATATAATATCTAAGCGTTCAAAACCTCGACATCGCAAACGTAATCGAAAACGTGGATCCAACTCAGTATCCTTGTTATCTTCACATTCACATAATGCAACCGACCCTAGTATTTCACGAAATAAAATTGATGATAACTATCAGAAATGTGTATCGCTTGCACAATAATTATCAGGTTAAGCAGATGTCCTTTGAGCTTTTGTCTCAATTTATTGTACAGTTTTCATTAAAATCTGTGATATCTGTCAGTGATTTGATTGCACGTTATTTTTTATGCAGAATCTCATTAATTTGATATAAACTACTGTTTTCACTCGTCATTGTTTTCAGATTTTTATCTAGTGTTAGCTTTCTTAGACTAATCTATGTTAATATTCCAAAGGTACAACTTTAAGAACCGTTTTTTCGTGTCATTAACGTAGACATGTTTTTGCTCGCGAGAAAGTGTAATTCAGATATAATTAGTTCTTAGCGGTATATTGAAGTAAAGTATTAGATAATTCTTTGACTCTACCTGTGTCTTGACATGTCATTAAGTCAGTGACGTTTTGCAATAAATGAAACAAACTTTATAAAATTAAACTAAATTGTTTTCCACTCATCTAGGATGCCAAAAATGAAAAGATTTTATCATACTCCAATTTAGCGTCAAAGAACGAATTAAGGTTTTACTGCATAATTGAATAGCTAATAGGCAAATATTTAACTTACGATAATATTAATTATAGAAGTTTCACACTAATGCATAGCATAACATTTAGCTCATAATGCGTTGTATGCCTATGTTTGTTTCTGCCGTAAATATGACATCTAAGATCCTGCGAGCTCAAATAAATTTGATGGATCGAGACCAATAATCTTAGATTAAACCCATGAACGGTATTGTTACGTGAATACTGAAAGTCCACTGCTTGTGGCGTTTCTCTGCTCAGCTGTACACTATTTTCTGTAGTTGGAAATCTGTTTGAAGTTGAATGAACGAACTGTGGCCTTAAAAACTACTTAATTTGTGTCTGCCACTTCATTTCCATTTGAATTTGTCTATATCTTAAACATCCAGCGTGCTGATTGTGTATCTCAAAAGGACTTATTTTCTTTTCGGAGAAAAATATTTAATATAACACTGAAATTTTGAGTGCTTTGCATCGTTATATATATATATGACTACTTACATACATAAAGTCAACTGGTAGCCGAGTGTATAGAATTGTCAATCTTCTACAAACAAGTAACTAAAGGTGTGATAAATATTTACTGTGATTACAAAGCATTCTAGTAGTTTTGGTTTTACGCACTCAGAAATCGTAACATAGAGGTGTTTTCTAGGAAAAATACATAAGTTTTTGTTTTTACGTAATAATGATCATTTAACCCTACATATTTTCATTGGTGTGGGAGTAAGTTGGGAAAATTACCGACATTCAAATCGAAATGTGACTCCTCGAGTAAATTTGTTCCATCCAGCTAAATTGTTGCCTTCACTTTGTCTTTCACTATCAGCAATATTATTGTTATCGTTTCAACCTCTCTGATTCTCATCATGGTAATTTCCTTTTTTTTGTGTTGATGTAATGTGGATACTTGAACTGATGTACGTTCGATTTATATGCGATATTGTCTCGGAGTGATTAAGTAAGATACAACGTAGTTGGGCAAAGGTGGAAAATGTCTGGTAGTGTGTTGCCCAGAATATGTGCTTTCCATGAAATCTAACTAGAAATTCCTAGCTACCTTTTTAGAGGATGACATAACTGGAACTAAATCGGAATCTTATTTCCTAGACAAAAGATAGTTATGATTTCCATCCTATTTTTGCATGTCATTGACCTCAAGAATCGTTTAAAAAGTGACCTGTAGAATATAGTGAATACTTGTCAAAATGAAAAATCTTGTTTTCTCTATTCTAATGAATAAAAATCCAAATTTATTGTTCATATTAAATATACGATTTTACCATATCTATGTAAATTAAATCATCCTATAACATAACATAATTTTTTGTTATACACTGATTTCTATTCGGACGGTTGATTCAAATAAAAAATTTTTTTTGTTCAGATGATGACTTAGTGTATGATAGCTGAGTCAAGTTATTAGAACTATCATAGAAGTAATTGCCTTAAGGGTAGTTGAAAACTCTAGGTCAGGAAAATAATTTGACCTCCATAATCTCATTATTCCTAGCGTTTTCTACATAATCCAATCACCTGCTTGTTATCTGTCAAAGTGATTTGATAAAGTGGCATTTACAGTGTTCAATTATTCTCCATCAGTATCCTGCCAACAAGAACTTCGTTATTCATCATTACTTGATTGCTACTATGCGTGCTGCTGAGTCGAGGCAAGATATATGAAACTTGAAGTTATTCTTTGTCTAATTGCTTGGTTATTGATCCGGCAGTTAACTTGATTTTATTTTTTATTCGAATCTAACTACACACCAAATTTTGATTCACTCACTGTTGTTCTTTTCTTTTATCATACAATATTTACAGTCGACTAACTATTAGTCTGGTGTGAATCGAATATGCCTTAGTTATGTATATAATGAAACACTGGTTTGTCTTGATATTATATTTTGTTCGTATAATCATATGAAGTATGGGTCTAAAATAGTATGGGTACTAGTAATCAGTTATCTGGCTTTCTATTGTGTATATTTTCCTAGCTTATTGTAATAGAGATAATGGCATAGGCAAAAACGCAACACACACGGCCTGGTCTAAGATAAGTGTGAGTTCAATAAAACAAGAATAAACTCGCACCTATGAACAAACTGTTGTCTATATCTGCTAGATGGAACTCATACTTAAGTTAGTCTAAATGATGAATCAAACTGTGCTGATTGTCCCTTGAGTTCATTTTAGTCAAAATCTTAAGCTATTTAGTGTTAAAATCAAACAAATTCTAATTTTAATTATGGGGAATCGCACACTAACCTAATATATGGCATCTAAATCGTGCTTTTTGATCGGGTTCAAGATGTGTAAGCGTTCCTTCAGATATTTACACATTCTGTAGTGTACGAGCACACTGGCGTGTACAATCAAATATATTTTAACACAAAACTACAGTATGTCTTAGTCAAATCTGTAAAACACACAGTAAGTACTTCGTTTACAAAATGTCAATCGTCTCAGACTTCATTATTCCTTTGTTTCCACAGCAACCATTTTCTTCTCTTTGTTCTAACCAACTTTCTGGCGCCAGGCATTGAACTTTCGACTAGTGATACATACTTCTTATATCTGTCCATATCAGTAGCACACCACAACTGTAATACCTTTAATAGGAAAGGCTAAAAGCTTCTGGCTGTATGGGTACTAAACATAAATCAACTTCGTAATAAGGGTTTAGAATATCATGCAGGCATATAAAATTAAATATTCTTAAAAAGGTTATGTGTTCATCTGCACTAGTTAGATATTGTTTGTCTTGTATAATAAGTATTAAAGGAGTATGTTTATCTGGTATCATCTGATTTAACTTCCACTGCATGGACAACTAAGAATTAACATTTAAACTCACAATCTTAGCAGCAATCACATTCAATAAGTTCGTTAAATGAATACTAAGATTTTTTCACACCTAATCATACATCTAACTTTAAACAACGTACCTGGTTAAAGCTAATGCTTTGACAGTATATCTAGATTATAGCCAAGAGTAAAAAACAATGCAGGTCCCGTTCATTTTAAAACTTCTCAACTTGGTGTGTCTACATCCCGGTAGTGTTGTTCACAGGGAGACTTGAACTCAGTAACTTTCGCTACAAAAATATAATGTTTATCCAATTCATCTTGATTTGTTTCTTTTACTTTTGTACTTAAATTTCCATCGTTATTGTTATTATTCCTAACTTTGCTTCATTTTGCTCATATAGATTTCCTTAACTTATAATCGTTGATATTCCTGAGTCAAACAGGGCATAATGGTGTAGCAATCAAACTCTAGACGTTGGTTAGAGTTATCAACGATAAAAATAAACAACATCCTAATTAGTCAGCATTTTGCCTTCGATAGTTTTGTTGTTGTTGATGAAAATGATATATTACCATGATTGAAGCAAACAAATAGATTTTTGTTTTTGAAACTCCCGTTTCGTTACCTACTGTGAATAATTCAAACAAGTATGTCGAGTAGAATATGATTACAAAAAAACACAAAAAATTACTAACTCTACAATAAAAAAATGGTCATAATTTAACAAGCAGTTTTTTTGCATCCAACTCATAGAGCTTCTCTAACAATTTTTTGAATTTCTTAACTACCCTCAAAAATAATGATCTACTTCTGGTTAAATTATGTAGATCATTGTACTAATCGAAAAAGTCAATTGAAAGAAATAAAAAAAATCATTGGAAAACTTGATCATTTTGTATAATAACGAATAATCATACTTATATTTGGCATTTTACCGTTAAATATTTTGAGAGATATATTGTAGAAAATACCTGCGTTATTAAACATACATCAAAGACTCCAAGTGAATAAAATATAGCTTGATATATACTTCATTCGACAAACATGTAACTGAAATGACATACATGATTATTCATTTTTGTCAGAAATTAAATTAAATCTCTGACAGAGTTTGTAGTCCTCTCGTATTCGACAACTTTCAGTACAACTATTCGAGTAATAAATCTCACTAATTCATCATATATGTAGTTAATCGGCACATGTATTATTAAAGAATCGTTGATTGTATGATTAAAATATATTGTCAACAGAAGTTTTACTAAAATAACTAAAAAGCATTTAAAAAATATTTTTAATAGACATGGTATATAATCGATACCCCAAAATAGTTACTGTCCGTGAACCATTTAAAATGACGGCTCATATTCAATAATCAGTAAAGTATATAGAAAGGGATAACAAGAAAAGTATTTTGAAGAACTTGTATGATTCTTTCTTAGAGTTTCCGTTTAGAAGGTGAGGTGTTTAAAACACCTATAGGAATAAAAATTCAGTGATATTTTTCCCAAAACTTGTTTATGTAGATATTCTACGGAAATGGATTAGTAATTCTCTTGTGACCCAACCTAAAATTCATAATTTTTTTACGATTAGTATGCAGTGGTTGTTGTACGAAATAGTCAATTAAGAAGAATGATTAATGAAATTACTTATATTTAAGAAATATATTGTTATTATACTCTAAAAAGTTAACAAACATCAGATGTCTTCAACTAAAAAAATTAACCCAGAGGTCAAGGATGAGGCAACACCGAATGTAAAGTGAAATATGAATTGTGTATGTAAAGTTGTCGATGTATCAAACATTGAGTCCGTAAATATTTGGCATAAACATCTTAATACTAAAATTTTGTTAGTAGTGCGAATATATTGCGTTAAATATAATAACGTAATGTAAAAATGCAGTTTCATTTCGATATGGTATCAAATCAACAGTAAAATCGGAACATACTTTTAGACACTAGTTCCGTATTTATTAAATCCATTTAGAAAAAAGAAATTATCTCCATTTATTCTGCAAAGTAAATTATGAAAAGACTTTAAAATCATTTATTGATAAACGACAGGATAAACAAATAT